CAAAGATTGCCCTCTCTTTTTTACTTTTTTCAATGATTCTAACGCACGGGCCAAATCAGTATGCAATCTTGATAACAGATTACATAATCCAACTGTAATTGTCGATCTCGGAAAAAAGATCTTACAAGTTAAGCCACGATGAGATGTGGCTGAGGCAAGTATTTACCATACAATACCGACAGAACGCCACTTCAGAGCATGCTCCAGGCAACAAAATTGGATCCTTGTAACGATTGGATGTACGGACTGTCATTCTCCACAGCGCCAACCCCGGAGTCTCTGGTAACCTAGGTAGAGATAGCTTATGGAAATCTGGATGCCTGCTCCCAACTTGTAGTATATGGATTTGTTCAATTTCCTCCCTTGGCCTTTCGGAAGGAATTCTGAGTCCTGATTCCTGCGAGCTCACTGTCATTTGTAATAATCAATGGGCACAAGCCGGTATGGCGTTGATATCACACCCATCCTAGTCCGTGGCTGAGCACTGTTGCCCGCTTCTGAGCCACCGGTTACGTATACATCCTCACCTGTCCTGAACAATAACATCAAGCCACCTGCGACTCTGCCACCGTTCTATATGCATCCGAAGAGATTTTCGAGGTTAGCAGAGTTTACCCATCATCTAGCTCCTTTCACTTTAAAGCCATTTTTAGGTATCTGGTCATCCTGCCCTTGTCCAAACAAGGCGAACCCCTGCACCACTGGCGGGCCTCAAGAGCTTGTCTTCATCAGATTGACGCCTAGAGGCTAATCATGCGGCTATAGGAGAAATTCGCCTCCATGGTCCTTCGAAAACGTGCACCGCCGCATCTGTATAGTCTCAATCTAGGAAATGCTCGCTCTGAACCTCGCTCTCCAATCTCACCAACCTCTCCGACTGCGAAATCAGCTACCTCACCTTCCCCCAAGCGCCTAACTCGTCCCAGAAGGGCAAAGAGCTCTCCTCATCCTTATCAAATACCGTCGGAGGATTCTATTTATTCCCCAGATCTCAACACTTCGCCAGCATTCGACTTGATGCCTTTGGAACAAGCGCAGAAGTCCCCTGTGGGGACTCTGTCCAGTGATACCGCCAACCCGTGGGCGGACGATGTAGTGGAGAGGCCTGACAGGAGCCATTCTGTCCCTGAACATCCTCTGGCCCATGCCGGGGAACCACAGCAGGGGCCGCCTCTAGATAGTAGAAGAGGCGACCGCGTACCTTCGATCGTCATTGCGGGCACTCAGAGAAGGATGGCTGCGAACGAATGGCAAGAGGTAAACAGCAGTGCGAATTGGGAGCCACCTATCCAACTCCAATCCAACAACCCTTTCCTGAAAGCGAAACAGTCCGATGAGAATCCTTGGGGTTCGAATAACCTACGAGCATCACAAGGAGATCTTTCGAGTGATCGACTGAGTCAGAGTACGTTGTTACCGGCCACACTATCTTTGGTGTCACTGCTTATACAATTATAGGCGAAGGTTATATTCCAATGACTGCGCGCTTGTCGCTTCTAGACCAGTCAGGATCGGAGTCACCATGGGCTGAAGAACGCCCAGAGGCAGCTACAACATCTTCCGCCTGGCAAAACAGTCGAACTGCCTCGCAAAATACGCCGTCCATGCCTCATGCGGTCCGTGAAAATGGCTCGACATCTCCTTTCCAGACGTCATTCATAGGCAATGAGCATGGGTACTCTTCGCAATATCTGCCGCAAACAGATCATGAGTCGCTTGCTCCAGGGAGCGGCATTGAAACTCCTTACGCGACCGATTCTACCATCACGACTCCATCGTCACATGAACTTATCGAAGTCGATGAGCTCTCTCACGCCAGCGCTGAGCCCACTTCCCAGCTTCTACCACAGGAAACCTCCGCTGCACCTGCGCCACCTTTGCCGCAGCGCCCGAACGCAGATGCAAATCAGGCCCCACCACTACCATCGAGAAACGCTGCATTGTCCGAACTGGATGGACAGCAGCAGAACGAGCAGAGATCCGAGACATATTCGATCCGACATGTCAACTGGACAGACCCTACCGGGAAATTGCGAGAGTCTCCAGTCCTAGTTCAAAACAAGAACGGGCCATGTCCGCTACTAGCCCTTGTCAACACGCTAGTACTGCGTGCGGATCAGGACACGCAGCCACCAATTGTTAGAGCGCTGCGGACCAAAGAGCAGATCTCTCTCGGTCTGTTGATTGAGGCGTTGTTTGACGAATTGACGACCCGCGTGGGGACTGATGGTGAACTTCCGGATATTGAGGCACTCAGTCGCTTCCTGACGATGCTACACACGGGGATGAACGTCAACCCTCGACTTACTCTGGTATGAAGATCACTGTGTGCAAGGCTCACGAGAAATCAGTACTGACAGTGACGCAGGAATCGGATGACGCCCCAGGCACCTTCCAAAATACGGACGACATCAGGCTCTACGGGACTTTTGGCGTCCCGCTCGTGCACGGTTGGGTCGCATCACCCGCAAGCGAAGCTGATGGCGCACTGAGACGGCTGGCACAATACTATGAAGATGTCCAATTACTGCCCTTTCGCAAACAGGAACTTGAAGATCGTGTCTTCCGAGGGGAGACACTAACTTGGGACGAGGAACAAGCCATGAAAGATATTCACGCAATCGAGAGATTTACTGAAATTGAGAACGCGACTCAATTGAGTCCATTTGGCTTGGACCACCTTACCGAGAAAATGCGTCCTGGGACTTTCTCAATATTGTTCCGCAACGATCATTTCTCGACTGTCTATAAACATCCTCAGCGGCATCAGCTGTTTACCCTGGTCACCGATGCCGGCTATTCCAATCACGCGGAAATTGTCTGGGAATGTCTCGTTGATGTGAATGGATTCAACGCAGAGTTCTTCTCGGGCGATTTTCGCCCCGTTGGTCATGCTCCTTCCGGGACGGATCCATCCGGACCACGAAACTCCAGCAACAGAACAGACGTTCCTCCCGTCGCAAGTGAAGATAGAACAAGTGCATTGTCTCCCCAAGAGCAAGCCGATGCTGACTACGCCTACGCACTTTCTCTTCAGTACCAGGAAGAAGAACGCCGGGAAAGAGAGAGCAATAACCAGTCACGCAGTCAACGAGCTTCGGCCCCAAACTATCCCCGACGAGCTTCTTGGGGCCTAGACTCCGCTCACCAACGTTCAGCGAGTGTAGCAAACGGTAGCGGTAGTGGACCCACGTCGGACGGCCGCTCGTCAAGGCACGGCCAAGGCCCTGGCGCCAGTAATAACACTGAAGATCTCCCTCCTCCATCCTACGAACAGGCGGCTACCAGTCCAGCACACTCACCACAAGGCAGTCCTTACAATGCTTTACCTCAGCAAGCTCGATATCAAAGACACTCATTGGGACGACGAGTAGCTCCAGGTACTGTTGCAGCAGGCCCAGGTGATCGGGTCAAGGATCGAAACAAAGACTGTGTGGTCATGTAGTGCCCACACTATATCATCTTACAAATGATCTCGAGGGCGCATACCGAGACAAGCCATGGTGCATACCACGAACCCTATCAATTTTCGGCAACGCTTTTTACTGCTTTTGACGACGCAACGACATGATGCTATGTACTTTATATAGATACCACGGGACAGGCATGTCTGAACATTCACTCAATGATAGATGACGGATTCGGAGTTTTTGTAACGAGCTGGTTCACCTAATAGTACACCTTGTCCTTCGGATACCTCCGCATATATTTAGAGAATCGGCGCAGCAGCCAAGGAACCTACGAGGATCGACATTCGACTTGGTTTGGGTCATGGCCTTGCTGTAGCATATCACATGATGATCCCCGGTCCCTGCACTATCAGCACTTCCAGCCACCTCGATCTCTTTGTCATCAAGAAGATGAAGCTCTCTTGATGACAATAAAATATTCAATACAGTTTGGCCACCGATGGACGAACTGTCTCAATGTGGATCACTTGATGCACTCCAACTCTCCCCTACATCAAAACGTCTCTCACGACATCCGCTCAGGGTCTGCAACAAACAGAATGATTTCACGCTTTCCCTAATCCTCCACGGGCAGCGACTTCGATGCCGGGGACCTCGAAGATGCGGGGTTGCGGAGGCCAATATCAGTATGAGGATGTATTTATCCTTAGCTCCTTGATGCAGCTGTCTTAGTTTTAAGTGCTAACCACGTTTTGTGCGTAGTAACCAGGAGTCTCTCCGTGCAGAATTTTTGCCAATGCTCGACATCAATGCTACGGTGAAGATCTTAACCAAGTAAGGCATCATCCCTGATTTTTGACTCTGAAACAGTCGTTCAGACCTCGAATCATGTTGTTCTTCAGAAATTAAAGGCTTGGGGGTCCACAACACGGATGATTGATCCTGGTGTTTGTTTTCTGATGCTGTTATTGGAGGAATTATCTTCATGCAGGCGCAGCACATAGGCTGTCCGGTGACGCCAGTCTATCAATCCTTGGATTCCTTTCGCGGCGATGTTCGTCACAATCTAGCTTCGAGACATCAATTTCCTTTTCCAATGGAGCTTGGCCGTATCGATTTGACCGTGAGTCCTTGACAATAGATCCGGTCCGCCGGTCCGCCGGTTGATTTGACTACTTCTGTCAGTCCACTTTGTCCACGATGTCGAACGATCATGGTCATGCGAAAGGTATAGGCTCTACTGAGCCTCTTGCAAGCAAGGATGTCCTTCTTGCCCTGTGTGCATTCAGGGACCTGCCGCAGGTAAACAATGCCGAGCCGGGACTGGATCTTCCGTCACGTTGCTTCGGATGGCCCCCCGGCGTCAAATGTAGATTAGTTCCAGTATCATTTCTTGCAATGTGCCATCTGGAATATTCCCCATATGGAGTCTTCGGCTGATGTCCGGCTGAAACCGCTCTATCTTCTCCACATGTCGTTGTCGCTCGGTTGAAATACATAAATGCGTCTGGCTCCTGGTCGCCTTCTCAGGCCGGGGCCTCGATATAGATCTAGGAATTAGTGTTTTGTCAGTTTACCCAGAATCAAGTCATGAAGGGGTTGCGCGTTGCTGTCCTTGTGGCACTTTTCAGAAGTGCATGGGCCCAAGCAGGCAATTGTCCGGGAACCTTTACGTCCATATCCGCTGCTGATTTCGTTTCTCGTGTCCATCCGGGGTGGAATCTGGGCAATACTCTTGACGCTGTTCCTAACGAGGGCTCCTGGAATAACGCTCCAGTTCAAGCATCCACGTTTGATACTGTCAAGACGGCTGGATTCAAGAGTGTTCGACTTCCAGGTGAGTTCCATTCGGTGCTGCTAGCACTTACTACTCCGAACCTGCTGCTGACAACATTCAGTTACATGGGCAAACCACTTCACTGGAGAGTCGCCGGACTGGACCGTTGATCCAGCATGGCTGCAGAGAGTCTCTGACGTTCTGGATATGATTACATCGCGCGGCCTGTACGCAATTGTCAACGTTCACCACGGTGAGATATGCTCCAGTGAGATCGTACACGTTCTCGAGGACTGATTGAAACGTAGACTCGTGGATCTGGGCCGATGTCACTCAGTCAGGAGCCAACCTTACGATGATTGAGGAGAAATTCTATCGACTCTGGTATCAGATTGGCACCAAGTTGGGTTGCAAGTCGAACATGGTTGCCTTCGAGTCAATTAATGAGCCACCTGTCAACAACGCTCAGGATGCTGCCGAAATCAACAAACTGAATCAGATCTTCCTTCAGGCTATCAATCAAGCTGGAGGATTCAACTCCAAGCGAGTTGTCAATCTGGTTGGTGGTGGCGAGGATAGCATCAAGACCTCGCAGTGGTTCAAGGCTCCTACTGGCTTCTCTAACCCTTACGCCATTCAATTCCACTACTATAGTCCCTGTAAGCGATCCCTTGCCCCGACCCTACTTGGTCAAATACTAATTGATACCCAGATGACTTCATTTTCGGCGCATGGTGAGGAATCTTGTTCAATCCATCTGCAATATTCAAAGCTGACACCTTTTCAGGGGCAAGACCATCTGGGGCTCGGACTCTGACAAGGCTGCCCTTACCAATGATTTCAAGTTGCTTCGAAACAACTTCACCAATGTGCCCATCATCCTCGGAGAATACGACGCATCTCCGACGAACACTGAGCCAGCTGCACGCTGGAAGTACAACGACCTTCTAGTTCACGCTGCTGCCCAGTACAACTTTGCCACTATTCTCTGGGACAATGGCCTCGACCACCTTGACCGCACAACAGGCAAATGGCGCGACCCAACCTCCCTCCAAATCCTCACCAAAACAAAGTCCTCCACCAAGAACAGCCTGCCCGACAGCACCACAGATGCCTCCGCGACTAGCCAGTCGTCTTCCGCCTATATCTTCCACCAGGTCGGAGCGCCAGTCACAAGCCAGACCCTCCCCTTCATCTTCAACGGCAATACCCTCCGATCCATCAAGGATTCCAGTGGCACCACCCTGAAGCAAGGAACGGACTACTCCGTCTCCGGCTCCAACATCGTTTTCACGGCGTCGTACCTCTCCAAGCGCATCTCCGCGTCTACGAAGCCTGGCATCATCACCGACCTCACCCTCACGTTCTCCTCGGGTGCCTCCCCCGTCGTCCAGCTCGTGCAATGGCAGACGCCAACACTGGGCTCTACGTCCGTGGCCGCATCCTCGGTCTCCGGCGACCTCTCCATCCCGATTACATGGGGCGGCGTCCCTAAGGTCGCGGCCGTCAAAGCTGTTACCACGGGTGGCAAATACCTCGTTGATGACTGGACACAGTTTCTGGGCCCGTTGCAACAGGCCAGAACGGTACGTACTTTTCTCTTTATGCAAGTTTGTAGCTGATTGCTGACTCTCTTCTGCGTCCAGACCTATAGCAGCCAGTGGAAGTTCGAGGGCTCGAATGTCATTTTGACGTCTGGGGCGATTGACGCTGTGAAATCTGCTGGTCAGACTACGGTGTTTACGTTTGAGTTCTATCCCCGTGTTGCTGGTGGTGCGAATACGGTCAACTTCACTGTGACTGTTTAGATAGAGTTGGTATGGATTATGCGTCGTTTGTCCAATTGCATTTATGTGCGTATATGTGTCGCACAACAAATGCCTCTACTTCTACCAGCCTTGGTTCTAGAGTAGACAGACAAAGGGAAATTCCGAGGCTCTCATAATTCATCAATCATTAAGCTAGTATCCACCATTAACATAAGAACGGTAGCCCAGCAAACAAGATCATCATCAATCAATAAAGAACCTTCAGCTCCCAAAGCGGAAGGCTCGGATCATACTTATCCCAGACAATCTTATTCTTCTCATCCAGATGCGCCCCCTCATCCGTAATCGGAATGGAGGGATGCGTCTCAATCACCTCCTGGTGACTAAACCCCCATTTATCCCTGGGGATCCACAGCGTCGGCGTGCGCGCCCAAATACACGGCTCGAAGTATGCGTTCCGCTCCTCCTCCTCGGAGTATCTGATCTCGACATGGTCCCGGCGCACTTTCCGCCGCAGCGCCGCGTAGTCGCTGTACAGGTTCGGGTGAAACCACTTCCAGGCTGCCTCCCAGCGGGTGCGCGGATGGTGCAGGAGGGCCTGCGTCTCGTCTTCTTTCGACTGCTGCACTTCTTCTTCTGTGTCGAGGGTGCGGGGGAGGAATGTGTAGAGCGGGGCTAGGGCCTCGTTGAGGGACATGTGTGCTAGCACGGTGAGGACGGTAAAGAGGGCCATGATGATTAGGGGGCCGATGGCGGCGCGGATGGCGAAGAGGCCGATCATGCAGATGTTGGCGAGGTATATGCCTGTTAGGAGATGCTGGAGGGCACGCGGGTAGACGAGTCCCTTTGTGTCTATTTCGATGTCGTAGACGAAGAGGAAGTTGTAGCGGTAGGCTTGGTAGACGAGGTAGAGGCCTACAAACGCGAAGCCGAGGATGAGGGGGGCGATGCAGGAATATGTTAAGGCTGGAGGAGGATGTGGTTAGTGGTTGGGTTGAAGGGTTGAATGCGCGGTAAAAAAATCAGAAACGTACCGATGACACCCATGTTGGTGAAGACGGGGAACACGTTCCCCCAGCCGATCCCGCTGAGGGATGCCCAGCGTTGGTAAAGGAGGCGTGGGGAGCCGTCGAAAAAGGTGCTCATGAATTTGAATACAATGACGCCGGCGACCTGCACCACTGCCATCGAGCTCATTGTTAAGCCCTGAAGCAAGAAGTATGATATGTAGAAGTTGGTTGCCTTTGGTAGGTTCTGGGCCAGGAGATCTTTGGTCGACAGAGGGTCCTTGATGATTTGGGCTGTTGCGGCAGATGCTGCCGATGTCAGGGTTGTCACAAGAAAGACTTGGACCACCTGGAAACAAAAGTGTGCGCTCTGTGTGAAGAGCTCTACATGGGCTGTCGATGGGGCACCTGCTCGTCTGGCGAGGACTGGATAGAAAGCTTGTCAGCACTGTTTCATTTCCTTTTGGACTTCAGTCTTGAGGGACTTACAACGACAGATGATCGGAACCAATGACATGAGAAGGACTAGAGCTGCGGACGGTAGCAGTCCTGCAACCACTCCTTTCAGTAATGAAGGTAGCTTGTCAATGAAGCCCAAGAAAGGTAGAAGGTTGGTGAGGTATGTGATGTTCGAGATCGCCCCAACAGCAGCGGAGGGGATGGACCAGAAGATAACCAAGGCAGCAATTCCACCCTGGACCGCGAACTTGCGCACAATGCGCTGCCACCAGCTGAGATTCAAAGTAGTCCAGACAACCTCTTTAGGGGAGATACCAATGAAACGAGGCGTCATATGGAGCGGTTGGTGATGAGAGAGCGTCTGTAAAGCGATCTGCGCATCGGACTGGGTGTTGAACTCGATGAACAGAGCAGAAAGATTCTTCATATTCCCATTTTTGTGCTGTTCCTGAAGGCACTCTACCTCTTTTGATACCTTCACAAGCTCGTCGCGTAACCAACGGATGGAGTCAACTTTGGGTCCAAACAGCTTCACACGGTGACTCGGTCTGCGAATCTTCTTACGCCAGCTATGTGTCCCGCTTTCGCAGTCCAAACACGTGTCAGAAGTGATCACTCCATTTTTAAATGCCTTGAGACGGGCCGAGTTTGCTGCTCGAATCAAGTTGGTCTCCGCTCTCTCCAACCGATAAGCTAAACTGTCCCGTTTGCGGACTTTCTTCATGAGCTCCTTGCAGTCGGATGTGATCCAGATCCTTTGAATAGAATCGCCAAAGACTTGCCGCAACTTCTGCTCGTTCTTGTAGTCTTCTGGCACGGACATGAACAGCACCGTTCGCGATGATATACGATGAACATAGGCAGGGGAATTGAGATACGCCTGTCGCAAATTCGCATAGAAGAGACTCTCCCGGGTGACCACGTAAAAGACATAGGCTGCAGCGTCCCAAATTAGTGATACTGCTTGGAAGAGCCCCCAGAAGCACTTACTGAATAAGACACATGCCGTGATAGCATGTGCATAGTACCGGGTCGGGTCTATCACGTTGCTAAAGCTGAGTGCGTCCAGCTGAGTGTTTCCTGCACCGCCGGTGATGTGAATCGGGATCAGGATAGGCCATGTGACGAGGCAACCAGTAAAACAAGTAGAACAAAGCACCCTGAGGAATCGCAGAAAGAGGTATCCGTCCATGGAGGAAGAATGTAGAACATGCGCATCAGATATCTTGAGAAACTGCCCAAACCAGTTGATGAAGCCTCTGGGCAATTGGGGGCTTCGTTCACTGCACATGTTTCAGTAAGCGGCGCAAACAACGATGCTGTAGGAGCAATACATACTGTTGGTGCCAGCATGGCAAGTGAGATCTTGGAGCATACCAACGCAGTTGCGTACGTCGACATATCAAGAACAGACCGAACCAAAAAACCGCGATGACCAACGCGGGAAGGAGTGTGGTCAAGAGTGCTGAAAGTGACGTTGAATCATTGACACCGAGGTTTTTGATTGCGTCGGAGGTCTTCGACGACGCATTGCCTCGAGCAGAACCGATATTAGGGTCATTGTTCGGATCCTACATTGTGAGGGTTAACACAGTGCGTTATGAGGCTCCAACTCGGTATACATACGAGGAGGTCTTGTCGTTTTACCAGGGGACCAACCCATATTGGGACAGCCATGGTAGGCAACATGATGATCCCTCGTGGTCCTGCGATATGACCGTTATACGAACCAATGTCCGGGTGCCTCAATGGTTATACGGAAATAGTCTAGAATCAGAATCTAAAGGCACAAGGATGCAATTGCCTACATATATCTCGTTTGTGATCCGCCACTAGGACAAGCGGACGGTATGGCGCGTTGGACTTGTCATTCCTGTCATTCTGCATGTATGGTACAGGCTTACAGCACGCCAGGCCAGTTGCCAATAGTGTTCCGAAAGTAAACCTTCGTGTGACAGAAATGCCAATGGTGGGCCATGCAAAGCCCAGGTGGTCGGGGATGCATTATTTGGAATGTTTACACCGTAGCTCCAGAGCTTCCGCAGCTTTGAAAGTACTGATGACCCGTCGATCAATGCTCAGAAAGTCCGAGAAGAAATACTGTTAGCTCGCTACAGTACAATGAACCATTCGCGAGGTTGTCATTTCTTCATGTTGATCCAATACGTGGATTCGCTCCAGTTCGTGTTCCCGTTCGCTGTTGATCGGTGGAGAGGACGCATGGACGCCCTCCGATTAGTAGGTAGTAGCTTAGTAGTAGCAGGCATTAGTGGTCACTGGTCCCTGAAAGATCGTTGACTTCGCATCCAATTAGAAAATGAAGTCGCAGATCAATCTGCCAATTCCTAAGACATCGGAGAATGTTTCGCGGTCCCTTGAATCATGACGCCCTTGAATTTTGATCTCTTTGTTTGAAGAAATAGCTGATCTGAAGGATTCCGCTCCTGATTTTTGAGATAGACGACTCCGTAGTACTGTAGTATGTCACCTGAGAGCAGAATTTCAATAATCCCATATTGATCAAACAGGAATTTCTAACAAAGCGTGCCGACTGGGAAAGATGAGTTCGAGATTCTTATCCCGCGTCACGAACTGGGGTGTGTTCAATGGCGGGACCGAAGCTTAATCTGCAAGACTATTGATTGACGGTCTGTAATTGCCTCTCGACTAGACGACTTTTAGGTGATAACGCTTTCCAGCTGCATACCGCAGAATGAACAAGCACGGGATAGATAATGCATCCTTAATCGAAATTTGGGAGCCTGGAGAAGCAGTACCTACTGTCAGTCTTCCATAGTAAAATCATTCCCCTGATTGGGTAAAAATTAGTCGACAGTCTCTGAGGTCGCCAAATCAATCAAGCAAGGGGTGAGTGCTTGTCCAAGTATGACGCTCAAATCTCGAACGGATGACCTGTTTTCATTCTAATCCATACTCGACCTCTCGGAGCCGAAGATTGATTTCCTCTCTGGTCGTAAAGCGAAAGAAGAGTGGACCTCAGAAGTGATGTAAAAAAACCTCGCTTACGTGGTACACAATCCGCACCGCTTCCTGCGACTGGAGCTGTATGGTGCATCTAAGAAGTTCTTCCTGGTGTCTAACGACGAGATAGTTGATGTATCTACTGTCTTTATCCTGAGTGACGACAGACGAGAACAAAGCCAACACATCCATTGTTCTCACGAGCGGATGATTGGCTATATGACAAAAGGTGAAGTGGCTTTGGGATCGCCTTGTGTGGAAGCGGAAACTGTAGATCTGATCTGAGCGTCAACCACGAAACCAGGAAATGTATTTTGGACACGGAGAAAATGGATCCCAAGACAGAAGGAGTCTCCTGAATTTTTCTAGGCTATGTCGTGGGGATTTCTGGCCAATTGTGGATGACTTTGGACAGAGCACGACGATGCTAAAGAAGGGACAGGCTGAGCCCAAAGGCTTTGAGCTATCCAGATACCTCTGGCATCTTCGTTGAAACTCTGAGGAGCCAACATAGCAGTCAAGATATAGGTAGACTGGTTAATCGCATGATGTATGTTCAAAAAGCCAACAGGATGAGCATTGAAGAGTGGT